TTGATCTCATTCATATTCTCTTAAACATTTCCTGCGCTGATGGTATATACCAAACAAATCAACAAGGTTGGGCATGTAAAGAAGTGTCTCCAACAAAAGGTTCCAGACTATATGCAGTAAATCACCTCTTTTATTTCTCCACAAGCATAAATGTTTCTTTTCAAATGCAAAGATGTATTCTTTTAGACAAAATGAGTGGTCAAACAGAATGGGTAGGAACACTACATACAACATAACGAAACATGAAACACTCTCTTGTAGGTCATCAACTAAAAACTACAAAAGAGACTGCCACTAGTAATACCAAGTGGTAAGACAAAAATTTGTATCATAATCCATATCTTATTAATGAGTCTCTTAACACATAAATAAACAGTAAGTATGTATATGTGAGCGAGATTGCATTCCAATATACAGCAAACCAACAACAATCATCATATTCAGAAGCATCAAAGAAAACTCAATTCCGCCTGACTACTCGAATATTCAATAAAAGAAATCTATCCAACACCAGAAAAACAGAAGAAAGAAAATATAATGAGTAAATAGTTATTTACACTAAAAAAAATAAACAAAAAGTATCAGAAATGATGACATTATTAACCCACAAAGAAAAAGAATAACTCAAAAAAGCATAAAAGAACATTTCTTTTTCTTTTCAAGCATTTGGAATCTTTGGATATAACAGACAAATTTAATAGGTAAAAATTGAGTCTTTGCAGAAATTGCAGAAGTAAAATCCTAATGGGGAAATCATGCAGATAAAGAAATCTTGAAAGGAAATAAGAAAAGGGTCTGCTCAGGAAATCAAGGTTTTGGGGGAGGGAGAAGAAGATAAGGAGGGGGACTTACAGGGAATTTGTCAGAAGGGTTAGAAGAAGGTGGGAAGTAAATTGAGAAAGTCATGGAACATCCCAATGCGGGGCTGAAGTGCTTGTATCTCTTGTTGAACCCATCAAACATCTTTGAGCTGCTGATTTCTGTTGGTTTGGAATCCATTGTGGAGTCAACAGTGAGTTTGCTGATTGCTCTATCCAAGACGAAAAGGGAATGGAAGTCAGCTAGTTTGTGAGTTGAGGATAGAAAAGAAAAGAAGAGATAAGAAGAGAAAGGGTAAGTTACGAGAGAAAAGGAAAAATAAGAGAAGAAGAGAGGAGATTTTAATGTTGCGAAATGGAATGATTTTGGATATATATATTAATAAAATTTTATTCAATACCTTTGTGAGGATAAAATGGGTAATTTGAAAAAATTTTGTAAGCTTTCAACAGTTTTCCTTCGCTTTCCGCGAGTTTTGGTTAGAAAAAATTTTGGACTGTAGCAGCGCTTTGGCTTCCCTTCAATATCCGTTTCTTTTCTTTTCCGTCTCACTTAAATGTCCCAAACGTAGGAAAATTCACCTTTTTCTTTCTTTCTTTTTTATTCCTTTGAAATCCGAACTCCCAAACTAGCTACACTTAGGCCTGTCAACGGGTCGGGTCTAGACCCGGATCCGGAACCGGATCAGTGAAATTGTTGCGAGTATGAATAGAGATTTAATTCCGTTTTTCGGATCCGGATCCGAATTCGTTTTGTCAAATAAAAAACGGGTCGAATACGGAATATAGTATTTCGACCCGTATTAGATCCGGATCCGGATATAAATGAATTAATAATTTAAAAAATATATATTTATCAATATAATTTGATTAGGGTGATGTATTTGAGTAAAGTCAATTTGATTTCTTTTCTTATTTGGTTTTTTCTTTGCATTAGTTAGAAATTAGTTTACAAATATATTTTTTTCTCATTTTTATTAGAAATTGTAAATTTTGTTAAATTTGTGCGGGTAGACCCGACCCGAATTCGGGACCCATCGAATCCGAATCCGAAACATAGAATAAAAGACCCGTCGGATAAATGAATCGGGTCCGATTCCGGTATAATAATTCGGGTCCGGATACAAAATAATGAATTCCGACCCGAATCCGGCCCGTTGACAGCCCTAGCTACACTGATGTTTCAGACTCTCTATCTCTCGCTGCTAAGGCTCAAGGGACGGAGGAGAGGGACTGAACTGGAAATATGTAATTACAGAATGGAAAGTAACAAGGCAGCATAGATTGTTGGGATAATATCAGAAACAAATCATATAGTTTCTCTTAATATCATTTAGCGCTCTTTAAGGTTTGAAAAATACCGCTTACCTTCCTTACTTTTGTTATTTGTGTAGCAAAATTTAAAAAAAATCCCAAACTACTCTTTAGCTAATTTTGCTAAATAAAAATATTCTTAAATCGCTTTGTTTACTCAAAAAAAAAAAAAAAAAGAACCACCATCTAAAAAAAAACCTCTAGTTGTAGCATCACATCACAAAGTTATAGCCCATGACAATATAAATTTAAAAAATAAAAAATATTTATAAAGAAATATACGAGCACCAATTCAATTCTACATACTTAAAACAGATTTCTTACGAACTTTTTTTTTCCTCAATCTCTTTTCAACCCATCACATAAACCTTTAAGTTGTACTAAATTATTATAAAAGTCAATTCAAAATAAATAAAGAAATCATACCCCACCTTATCATAATCACAAAAAGAAAAAGATAATTAATATTCAATGTATTATAATTTATAAATAAAAAAATCGCACAGTCATCTAAAAAAATAAGTAAAAGAGAATGTTTGAGAAATAGGAAAGAGAAGAATGTGACTTTTTATTTTTTTTTCTTTAATTTTTGGAGTTCCATTTATTTGATATATAAATTATGTACCAAGTTAGGGTTAATATAATTATTTTATATTTACGAGAGAATGTAAGTGATATTTTTAAAATCTTAAAAGTACTAGATGATATTAAGAGAAATCTCAAGGGAGATTTCTGATATTATCCCTAGATTGTTTTTGCTTGCAAATGGATAGTTTCGTATGATCAATTTTAGGCTTAAATACGAAAATACGATGCCTCTGCAACTGCAATTAGGCATGAGTAGCAAATAATCTCACACAGGTAGACTCCATCAAACACTAATTTAAAATTTTCGTCTACACAAACAAGAAAAAGACCAATACACCATGGATAATTAATACAGTGCCAATTTTACTCTTTCGTCGCCAAAGGGGACAAAAATCTCATTTCAAATTTACCTTTCCATTAGAAGAAAATCATAATCATGGGACGAGAAAACATGTCATTTTGCAAAATTTGTTTGACATGTGTGATAAAAATGTCATTTCATACAATTTTCTAGTACTTCATACACATCTTCATTTTCTTAAGTTGACCTTATCCTTGTAGGAGGGTTAGATTGGATGGTAACGTAAGAAGAGGAGGTTGTGAATTTAAAACCTTCCACTTTAAAAAAAATTGACTGTATATATATATTTCTTGTTTTTGTGTAAAAAGTTTATGTATATGCAGTTCTAAGAGTCGATATTCATTTTTGTTGTATTTTTTTTTTTGAATATCTTCTTTGTGTTATTGTTATTTTGCCATTTTTTAGGATTAGAATTTTATGTCTGTGTAGCCAAATAATAGCAAGAATTGAGCAGTTTTGGCTTCATATCGGAAAGCATCAACAACATAACATGGAGCTATTAGGTACTAGCAATTTTTAGGACAACTTTATCCTTGTGAGAAAATGTTCTATCAAAGCCATTAATTACGCTAACAACGTTGAGGGTAATTTTATGTGATACATATTTATTAGTCTTCAAGAAATATTGTGTGTATTTTATGAATATAGAGGGTATTTTTTTTTTTTTGTTTTGAAGGATATAGAGGGTGATTTACTTACTGCTCATTTCTGATAGCAAGGAACATTTCGTATCTAACCCTAACAATTAATTGATTCTGATAGCATGGATCGGTTAGTTTAATTGTTTTTAATCAGACGGGACGCTTAGTCTTTAACTTGTACTTCTCGAAAGATTTTGTTGCCTAATCCTTCTAGGACACGACCCCAATAAAATCAATCCACCCACTTCACCTATTATTCACCTATTATCAAGCAAGACAAGCTATTTAAAATTGATTCCACGAAAGGAATTAAAACACGGACATATCTGTTTGTATGGATTGCTCTCAGGGATACCAATAGGCCGGTTTGCTTTTATATATTATGTATCTATTATTCATATATGTCATCGTGAGTTATATCGTCTGATCTATTAATGGCAGTTCAACTGCGATCCACTTCCTTACTCTTCTTGTTTATGTTTATTATTTTTCTTATTAATTTTTCTGATTTAGGGGCTAATTCCCCGTCCCGTCTGATGCTCAAGAAAAAGAAACAGCAGGGAAACATATTATTAAACTAACCGATCCATCGGAAAGATCTAAATTTGTGGATCTACGCTAGTAATATCATAATAAGTAAATTCAGAACTTTCTACTTATAATCAATCATTCCCACGTTATTGTCCAACCTAACCCTTCTCCGGACGATGAAAGACAATCATGAATTTATGTATGATCTGAGTTCTTGTCGTCAAAACTCGGATGTAAACTCAGACCTAAATCGTACCCAGACTCGACGACTTGTACACATAACTGCAAATGTAGGCATGGACATAAATGAATCATTTGAAGGAATGAGAGCTACTTATAGTTGATACATATTCTTCAGTTTTGCTATTTGCAAATGGTGAGGCGATTGACTGGTCTGGGACGGGTACCAGCAAAATGCACCCCTACGATTGTCCCCCTTCATTTATTTATCATAAAAAAATTGAAAGAAATCTGAACTGTTTCGATGCAAATTTTGAATGAACGATCCAAATTTCTTTATGGCAAATTCGGACCATTAATATCGCCAAATTAATTTCATAGACATTGAGGTGAGACCGACCCGATATGTAAGTGATTTATGGACTTTGTCGGTTCGCCACTTATGGAACCAAAACTTTATCTGACAACTACTAATAGCAATGATACATTTGTCGGTTCGAAAAATGAGTCAATTTCTTAAAGAGAGAGAGAGAGAGAGAGAGAGAATTGGCAGTGGAAAGAAGCCTCTGTCATCAGATTGAATGGAAGAAGAAAAGGAAAAAAAATCAACGGTACCATTTGGCTGTTGACCACCACAAAGACCGTAAGAGTAGGAGTAGATTTCGAATCTCGGCATCCATTGATTCCCAATGATACAGTTGGGCTTGTTTCCTTTCACATAGTGTAGAAGCAGGAGTAGAGATATAGGTGCAAAAGATTGGAGAGAAGGATAAAGGGGAAAAAAAAGAAAAGAAAAGAAAAGAAATCCTCATTGTCCTAGAAAGCCCTCAAGTCAGGTCACCACCTTCCCTCCAATTTAATGACCGTTGGGGAAGTTGGCAGCTCCTCCTCATCAAATCTTTAATGCCATGGGGTTGGGGGGCACCCCTCCCAATTCAACAATTTCCATCCAACATTTAACTCTCTTTTTCCCTTGCTACATTTATTAGCACCAAAAAAATTTGTGGTACATAATTTATAAATGAGCACATATTTTGGTAAGAAATTAACGTAGAGGTTGTATATAGTTTCCATAAATGTTCTTTGACAAATCAAACTTCAGTTTCATGAAATCATGAGATTCTTGTTTCAGAATACTTATACATTACTCGTATACATGCCATTTTCATGTTTCTACCTCACACGAAATTCTTTAGCTTACAACAAAAGTTGCAGGGTCTACATGACTAGAAATTGTTAATTGATTGATATTTTTTCTTATTCATTTTCTTGAGTTTTGATTCGGCCCGGCAGCAATCAACAACTGAAGGTTAGAATTCTTTTGCTTGCTTTGTTTATTCTTGGTTTTATCTTTTTGGTAGATGAACTAACTCGGGCGGATAGTACAAGGCTGCATTTATTTTACAGCACAATTTTAGTCAATTATATATATCCATTCACTGGTTACCAAGAAACTTGCATAGACAATTACATCATTCATTTGATCCGGTTTTGTCACTTTTACTTGGTCTAGAAGAAGTTTAAATACAATAGAATGGTTGGTTTGAAAATCTGAGTGGAGGGAGATGAAAGATTAGTTCTGATTTAGGTGAAGATCCTACTGGTATATAATCTGTTCTCTTCTTATCCTGACCATCAGGGCAGGTCACTTCTTCAGAATTCAATTTCTGGGATAGAAAGATCATATAAAATTTTGAAGTGTATTCCAATATAAGGATTGCGCAGTTGAGAAGACTTGAGCATTTGTAGTTGGATTCTTGGGTAAAACTAGAATGTCATGGAATATCTTGTTTAGGTGAGAAGAATCAAATGAGTTGGGATTTTGGTGATGCAACACAAGAAAAATCTCATTGTTAATTTAAGCCCCTGATTGTTTTATAGTAGTAACAAGAATCAGATTTTGGACCTGAAAACAAAGGTTAGGTACAATTTTGAAGCCCTTCTTCATATCCGTAGGTTTTGATTGGTTCTCCACATTACCCTTGTTCATTAATTGTGCTAACTTTGGTTGAGGAATGATGGTTGGAAGTATTGAAGTGGCGAATCATAAGGTGCATTTGAATGGTGCAATGCAGCATCAAAATGGTTTTGAAGAGAAGCTTGATGAGCTTCGACAGTTGTTAGGCAAGGCTGACGGTGATTTGTTGAGGATTGTTGGCGTTGGAGCAGGTGCATGGGGTAGTGTTTTTGCAGCTTTGCTCCAAGATAGCTATGGCCAGTTCAGAGATAAGGTTCAGATCAGGATATGGAGAAGGCCAGGAAGGGCAGTTGATAGAGCCACAGCAGAGCGTTTATTCGAGGTAATCAACTCAAGGGAGGATGTATTAAGGAGGTTGATCAGGCGATGCGCATATTTGAAGTATGTTGAGGCAAGATTGGGCGATCGCACACTGTATGCTGATGAGATTCTAAAAGATGGCTTCTGCTTGAACATGATTGACACGCCACTCTGTCCTTTGAAGGTTGTCACCAACTTGCAGGAGGCTGTTTGGGATGCCGATATTGTGGTGAATGGATTGCCTTCTACAGAAACACAGGAAGTGTTTGTGGAAATCAGCAGGTACTGGAAAGAAAGAATAACGAAGCCGATTATTATTTCTTTGGCTAAGGGTATAGAGGCTGAACTGGATCCTGTTCCTCATATAATAACCCCTACGCAGATGATCATTCGTGCAAGTAAGAATGTCCATCTTTTAATTCGCGTTTTTTAATCATCCTTGAATCTTTTCATCATGTAGGTGTGTACTTCTTTCAAACATTTGTGCTTATCAAATTTCTAACAATAGTACAGACAGGTGAAATATGAAATAGTTATAGAACTTGAATTCAGTTGAGAAATGAGAATCAATATAACATTTTGTTAATCATTCCTACGTAGCAAGTGCTTCAATTACATGCAAAGGAAGGCTCAGTGGGATATTAATCTCTGGGATTTTCTTTGCTTAAATAGGTTCAGTTTAGATAAGATGATTTTTAATATAGTTCGTTAAGGTATCCAGAAATCCCCCAAATATGAATAGATCTCAATGGCATCCGTCTCTACTCAAGGAAAAGCACATAAGGATCCTGAGCTCAAGAAAAATTTGTTTACAGAGACGCAAACTGTAATTCCTCGAGTGAAGTAGTTTTCGGTCAAGATCCCAGAGAAACTTGATCTACCATGTATGTATGACACACATCATAATTAGACAATAATATGACAGCCAGCAGTGTGCTTAAAATGAAGACTCCTTTTGCTTCTAATTCGACATGCTTTTCCATATCATTTCAACTGAAAAGCGTTGGAAATTTAGGGTTCATATCTTCAAGACACCTGAATGTCACCTTTCATACTTTCCAATCCATGTGGTAAAGTTTTTATATATTCGACTCATATCTGCCTCTAGGTGGAGTACCAATAGAGAACATTCTCTATCTTGGTGGACCAAACATTGCCTCAGAGATTTATGACAAGGAATATGCTAATGCTCGAATTTGTGGCGCTGAAAAATGGAGAATACCACTCGCAAAGTTCTTAAGGCAGCCTTACTTCATTGTATGGGACAACAGTGACCTTGTCACACATGAAGTTATGGGCGGCTTGAAGAATGTTTATGCTATAGGTGCAGGTAAGTCTAATTTCTACAATAATTTCGAAAAAGACTCGTCTAACTATGATCGAACTTTTGATTGATCTTTTAGCTATTCTAGAATTCATTTATCCCTAGAAAAACCAGAAGAAATCCAAAATATATATATCTGTATGGTTATCCAAGTCTCCAGAGGTAGTAATTGCTCACTCTCTCTTTTTCCCTGTCATTGAAGTTTGTAAGCCAAAAGAAAACAGGTATCACGATCGTCTGAGATAAGACACCAATTATGTTGTCTCACTCAGGAAATTGAGTTCTATATCTGCGACATTTTCTGATTATTGGCATCCCCTATCATTTTGTTTATGACTCGAAGAATAGCTGCAGTGGAGATGCTTTTAGCATGTGACACCAATTATGTTGTCATTCACACCCTGAGCAGATTGAGTTCTGTCTCTGCAACATTTGCTGGTTATTGGCATTCCCTAACATTTTGTTTATGACTTGAGCAATGGCTGTATCAATCAGATGCTTTCAGCATGCCTGCCCATATATAGACGGACAGTAGAATGTTGAAGGAACAAAACTTGCACCATTTTCTCTTTTTGATTGGGAAAATGGGAAGGAGTTTTGGCTACAGAGTCAATGATTTGTAACATAATTGAGCAAAGGATTCTGCATTTAGTTCACTGTTGAATAAATTACAATCCTTCTCAGGTCGTAAATTAAAATAGCAGTTCTCTATTCTGGATTCAAATCCTGAGTTTTCATTTTCTCCTCAGGAATGATTGCAGCACTAACTAATGAAAGTGCTACCAGCAAGTCAGTATATTTCGCACATTGTACATCAGAAATGATTTTCATCACCCATTTATTGACGGAAGAACCAGAGAAGCTTGCAGGCCCTTTACTCGCCGACACTTACGTAACCTTGTTGAAGGGGCGCAATGCCTGGTATGGTCAGATGATAGCCAAGGGAGAATTAAGCCTGGATATGGGGGATAGCATCAGCGGCAAAGGGACAATTCAGGTATATTTTGTATCTCTCTTGTACTCATAACAGGAACTTGATATAATTAAATAGCTACGTTCACTTGCACTTAACCTGGAGGATATTCTTCTCACAGGAAATTCCTGTGTTTGTTAACATTTCTTCCATATCTTTGTAGCTATGTAACATCATAGGTAGCTCATAATTAATATTAAATGTACCTCCAAGAATATCTAACATATAATGATACGAGTCCTAGAGACGTGACGATTTAAAATTTAGGCATCCATAACATATCCATTGATATAAACACAGTAAAATAGCCTGAGAACTTCCAAATATGGCCTTGAGTGTGTATTTTCAAGCAATTGGAAGCCTTCAAACTTTTATGAACTTGTATTATTAGTTTCTACTATTTTCAGGGGGTCTCTGCTGTGGGGGCATTTTATGAACTTCTAAGTCAGTCTAGTCTGAGTGTATTGCATCCTGAGGATAACAAGCCTGTTGCGCCAGTCGAGCTCTGCCCCATCTTGAAGACACTGTACAAAATACTAATAACAAGGTAATGGTTTTGAGAAACTTGCTGAATTATCAATGCTGCTTAAGCCTAAATCTGGGTATACTTCTGAGTTTTCAAGTTACATAGAGGGAAATGTATGCCTATGAGCTGAATTATTATCCTCAATACAGTAAAGAAAAGGTCGAGTTTTCTGATCATAGCAAATAATGCTATTCTGCTAATGCTTATATTGTGACTCCAGAGAACAAGGAGTACGGGCCATTCTTCAAGCATTAAGGGATGAAAATCTGAATGATCCCCGGGACAGAATAGAGATTGCACAAACTCATGCTTTCTACAGGCCTTCGCTTCTTGGGCAGCCTTGATCTGCAGGGCGACAAATTAAAGAGTGACTAAAGTTGAATAAGTGTATAAATTGCTTCGGATGGAATTTAGAATTGTCAATGTGACCTCTTCTTTTGAACTTATTTTTTAGTCTGGAGTCAAATGCAGCAACATGCACAATGCAATTTGCAGTGAAATACTTCTTAATCAGCAAACTCCATACTGAGATTTCCTAGATGCATACAGAACTCTGCAGAAAGCCATAGCTTCCAGGTTCTGTTTTTAGATTCTATGAACTGTTACTTCTGGATGCTGATGATTGTCCCAAATCCACACACATATTGCAAAGGCAATCACACTTTTCAGCCCCTAGCCATTTTTATTTGCAGCACTTGGTCTAGATAGCAAGTTGAACTTCATAGTTATTACATACTTTGTTTGATGAAATTTAAGAAACACAGAAAGATGCTTGCAGGCTAATTATGCCGTAATTGAAGTGAATATTACTCCACCATCTACTTTAAGTTATGCCCCTAATAGGACTTAGGAGGCAAACAGAAAAGCTATCATTCCTCTCATATTCACCAAACAAGTCAAAATAAGTTTCTTGGTTCATTTAACTAAGTCAAAGTAATAGCACTAATAAACCCTAATAAGCTTTAACATTACCTTTCAACTCTTAGTTTACTTAGGAGTTCTAGCTTCTAGCATGAAGTACCATATCCTCCAAGTTCGCCAAAGCTTCTTTCAATTGATCCTCTCCAGCATAACTTGTATGGGATGAAGTCGTATCCAGTAGACTCATCTTTGTGATGGATGGAATTTCCAGACCTTCAATCAGTTCTGTAATGGACTGTCGGATTAACCATTTTCCTCTTTCCTTGAGTTCCTTCAGTTTCTCAGAATACGGCGCCCGCAAGTCTGCTTTTACTTCATAGATATCCATCAACGCTTGTACTATTTGTGCAAGACAATCCTTCAAGTTCTTATCCTTTACTAAATAATCTTCATCGACAGTCTTTCAATGTATTCCTACAACCGAAATGTGAAAGTGCTAAATACTTCCCCAATTGTCTTAGGAAAGTAGAATTGGTACTGAAGTTCCTGTGGCACCTTGTAATCTGTAACAACTCTCTTAAACCGAATAATTCTACAGAAGCCTTTGCAAGGTTGTCTTTGCTTCTGACAAATCTAATCTGCCTGCACCATCTTCCTCATCCTGCTTCTGCTCAAAGGAAAACCAATAACCCGTCATTCCAAGCTTAAAGATATCAGTTAAAATGCTGTTAAACAGTTTTGTAGTTTTGCAAAGTTTGTAAATGTACTCATGACGTTTAAATTGATCAGAAAAGGAAGGACTGACAAAACCAATTCCGAAAGAGGTTACTAACTCCTTTGCAATGTCTTCCAAGTCCATGCACGGAGAGTTTATTAGTTAACCTATACCACATTCACTAGCTGCGGTACTAAAAGTCCCGAGTATCTTAACTTCTGCGATCTCCTGCCTGCCTTCTCTTAACATGTGTGCATACCCCGCCGCTAGTTCTCCCACAGTTGTTGCCAATATATCCCATATTTCCCTTGACTCCTCTGCATACGTTTTCAGCTATGATTGTGATGTTGATGGCTCTAATTCCCCTTCTTTATGAATAATATCCATCGCAATATGAGCACTCTCCTCAGCTACGTCACATATTTTTATTAATCACATCATCCATTACTGGGAACAAGAATTTATCCAGTGCCTCTCTCATCATAAAAGCGAAAGCAAGATCATTAATGTTCAGAAGTGAAAGAAAGAAGGAAAAGTTGAAAGATTATGGCTAAATCTGTATCCGACTTGCACCTTTCTTTCAGAAAATGTTCCACGGCTTTGACAGGAACATTGTTAGTCTTGTGTTCCTCGATTTTTCTGACTTCTTTAGCATCATTCAGGCTAAATTCATCAACCAGGTTTACCAAACTTTTCTCAACATTTTCATCCAGGCATGCCAACTTCATCACTACAGGAATACGTGAAATCCTCAACAACCATTTTATGAATACAACAACCCGACAATGGATCAAGAAATACTCCATCAGTAAACCAACCTTCTCTTCGAAAGTATGATAATCTTTATGATCAAGCAGTTGTTCGAAAGACTGCAAACTAGGTTCTAAACTACTACTAGAATCTGCATGTTCAACAGAACAATCAGTAGTAGTTATAGTTGAGGTCTTCACCTTGGGAACAAATTTTGTAGCCTGTTTACAAGTATATTTGCATTTAGACCAACTTTTGCCAGTTTGAAACGAAGCATTTGGGAAACGAATATAGTTTGGATTTGCAAGATTTAGGGTTTGAAACCTGATTAGGGTGGAATAGGAAGCCAACTGAGGATTTGTAGTCGAAACCATAAAACTGGCATTTAGTTCCATCCCGCTAATGTTGTTTATGTTCTCCACGGACTAATATTTTAATACTAGGCAATTCTTATTGCTTTAACTAGTGTGGATTGAATCATAAGAGGGGTAGAATCCTAAGTTCGGAAGGGTTTTTGCAGTGTGTTACTGAGTGGGGTTTAATAATGGTAACAATTCATGTTATGGAAATCTTTCTTGTAAAGTTGCAGTAATGGTAATCGAATAGTTAAACGTACCCAAAGATTTATATTTGATTCTGTGGACAGTAAAGGCACCGGACCTGTAATTATAATGGCAGCATATATTACCTCTGATGTAGTATTGCATTTGGGAACCTCTATGTTCCAACAGAATAATTTGATGGTATCACTCAATCATTCAACACATTAACTTGTGTCCTGAAATTTACTAAGTATTGCATTTCTATCATAATTTCTTTATGGCTTGAACCAAGATAAGGTCTGTTGTAGACCTGGTCCATCGTGCTTGTGAGATCGTCCATGGATGGACAGGGTCCGTATGAGAAAAAAGCTCAGCAAGAAGATACTTTTAGGTTGCAGCCCTTGAATTGTGTGGGTAGTCGAATTCTAAAAGAAAGGCAGCAGTTCCATCAGTCACTGCTGCATTCATTCCTGAGCTTCTTTATTTACTTAATTCCAGATGAAATGTACCTTAAAATCCTCTGTAAAACCTCTGTTTATGTATGATCTAGCTAAAGCAATTTTTTCTAATCATAATTTAGGAGGTAAAGACGCCCTTTGGTTAAGGTGTTGTTTCTTAAGTGACATGGTTCAAAGTCTCGGCTGAGTCCAAGATGATCCGGCCGAGTCGTCACCGTCTCAGGAGGGCCCAAGACAATACTGGGACGATACGATTCCGAGATATTTGACTCGCCGAGACGTCACCGTGAAGGATTGAAACGATCGAATCACACCGAATCACTCAGAGTCATCCCGAGTCAACTCGAATTTTTATTATTTTTACTAATTTTTTAATTATTTTTGTTTATCATATTTTTTACAATTTTTAGAATATTAAATATTTCAAAAATTCCCGTCTCACCGAAACCGCGATCGATATGCCGAGACTGACGAGGAATGGTCCAAGCCGTGACCGCAACCGCGACTGTGACTTTGAACCATGGCTGCCAGGCATCAGCAAGTCAGTAGAATTTGCAGATTGTACTTCAGTTCATTTGGATGTAGAGTATCAGTTCATATCATTAGGAGTATAGTTTCATAGCTTGCAAATTTCCAACGAAGATCATTAGGAGTATAGTTTCAATGGATGGAAGTCTTTAACTTTTCCCCAAAGAAAGACTTGGATGCATAATCAAAGAACTTAGAAAACCAAAAGGAAAGCAGGGAATTCATCTTTTAACAAACTTTACACTATACATACCCCGGCAAAGTAATAGCACTTATCATGGGATTCAGAAAACTAAGATGAGCCAATTGCCTAGCAATGGAAATCATGGGACTCAGAAAACTAAGATGAGAAGTAATATTATTTACCTCCTTCTGATTCTATGGAAATGGAATTAGATGGCTGTATGAAGTCTCATGAAAGTAGTGAACCTTACTCTCCTTACCACACCAAAGGAAACTTGTATTGCTACTCGTCTACTCCTTATTGTAATTGGGAGCACTTTATTAACTTCCCAAGTTCTAAGTCAGTCCAATCAGAATTTACTGCATCCCGAGTAAAACAAGCTTGTCATCTCAGTTGAGCTCTACCGCATTTTGAAGATGCCCTATAAAACAACAAGGTAATTTTCTTGAAAAGCTTGCTGTTTTTTAAAAGGACTACTCAAGCCTCTCTAGTTATAGTCAGAAATTGATGTTTTGAGTTACACTTAGGATAAAAATCATACCGGAAAGAAAAGTCAGTTCCATTACTTGCGGCAAACTTTCTCTTCTGCTTATGCTAGTTTAGTAACTCCAGGAAAATGGGCTAAGGGGCCATATAGAAGCACAGGATATGAAATCTGAACAACCCTTATGATTGAGTAGAAACAGAAACCCATGTCTCTCATACCTTCAGTACTTCTCTGACGGCCTTGAGCAGCATTGTAACGAATTAAACTGTAACTAAAGGATGAATAAGGGTATAGACTAAATCAGGTTGACCTTTGGATTGTCAGTAAAATCACTTCATTTATACTTTAATTCTGTGTTATGAAAGTAGCAAAAATGTGATATGCTACTGTCAGGTTTGTTTCTAAAGTATCATGATTTTGATGGGTGACTGAAGTGGACATGACAATTTTCTTGCGAACTGTAAAAACAAATCTCTGCAGAATTTATTTTGGTCAAGGTTATTCTTGTGCAAAAATACTAGGCCTAGGATTGAAAGTCTCTCCAATTGATTCCTAGCAGTAGATAAGTTCAAGTCGACCTAGCAGCTATACATACATATAGCTTTGTGCTTTAGCTGCTCCAGTTGAAGCATGAATGCAGTTCCAGGGTCATGCAGTAAATTTACACAACTGAAATTCAGTGAAGTTCTTATCTCTAAGCCAAGGTTACATTGTAAGTTCTGGATGCTGATGATCAATCTACTCTAGTACTCTCGCATACAATCATGGCTCAAAGGTATGTTTTAAAACTCAGACCGGACCGGGCGGGGCGGTCGAATTGGGAACCAGCCAAGTGTCCAGTCTGAGTTACTCTAAAAATTCAGTCAAACTCAGAAAACTCGATTGTTCTAATTTCTTTATATTTTCTTGTTAAATATATTTGAAACATCAAATATATATGAATATACTTTTATTAATATTAACATGCTTTTAGGTATTTACATACAATATTTTAATTTTTAAATTATTTTTATTTATGACGTCATCTGGTTCAACCCCAATCGAATCCGATCAGATCCATTGATCCTTGACCCCTTAGCTCGACTGAGTCGATACTTGGATCGAGTCTGAAAACATAGGTTCAAAGTCACGATCGCAGTTGGGAACGT